GATGTATAATCAATCGTACTAGATCCTCGCTTGTTGTTACTTGTTCGCCAAAAAAAGAATGAATATATGTGTGGTATAGTTTGTGTTTATAAAACTGTTAGGTTAAGAGATTTGTATAGCTTAAGGTTCGGTCTTTTTATTTCCTACAACCGACTACTACATGTAGACGACCTTAAGCAACCAATACCCAGCAAGGACGAAGAAGACTGATACTCTATACCTTAAAGATTGGCCAAATACTAATCAACCCCGAACGATGAGGAATAACGCAAGACAAATGTTCACCAGTCCAAGATCTTTGTCATATTTCAGACATTCATTTATATACATACAAGATCAAACCACTCAACAGACCAATTGAATAACAATATTAACACGGAACAACAATGTCAATAATGTGAAAAACAGAGATTATTATTATTTATTTATTTATTTGAACACATAAATATTGGTACAAAAGGTTACCAAATATATATGCGCCACACAAAACAATGATAATTTGAAGAGGAGAAAAAAAAATATATATATAAAGTAAAGAACGTGGGGAATTATAAAAAAAAAGAGGGAGAGAACAATGATGGGGAAAACGGAAAGGTACAATCAGAAGAAATCTTTCAGTTAAGGAAGATACAACCACTTTTTATGAAGAAAGTAAAAGAAGCTTACAGCAGGATCGCCACTGGCTTCTGTTCTGAGCCATATCTGATAACGTCTCTAGCCACTGTGTTATACCATCTCTCGGACCCCAGCTAGGGAGTCGTGAAGGACCAACAGAAGCTAGCCCTTTGCAGCTTTCTTTCATACCACGACACCATGTCATATACTGACCACCTCTCCGCTTTTCCCAACCAGTCCCAGAGTCGGCAAATAATGCACGACGAGGAATTCTCTGGGACGACATTCGTAGAACATGTCCAAGCTACCGAAGTCGGTGTTTCAAGATGGTGACACCAATTGCATTATCGTCTCTGTGACCTAACACACGATGCCGAACCTCTGCATTACTGACATGGTGTTGCCACTGGATGCCAGCAATCCTTCGGAGACAGCGATGATCGAACACAGAGAGTCGTCTAACATCCTCAACTCGGAGAGGCCAGGCTTCACAAGCATAGAGCAAAACTGCTCTCACCGACGCGTTGTAGATCCAACTTTTTACAGCCAGACTAACATCACGAAGGAGCCAAAGATGGCCTAGATTGGCATAAGCCTCTCTGGCTTTCACTATACGTGCATTGATCTCATCACTCACGCTACCACCAGCACTTATGCAGCTACCTAGATACACGAGCTTCTCGACTGTATCTATCTGCTCACCATCCAGAGTGAGAACAGGATTAGAATTCTGCCAGTCTTGTAGAAGAACTTTGCACTTCGAAGGTGCAAAGCACATACCATACCTACGGACATTGATTGCCAACTGATTAAGTGCGGATTGCATGACTTGGGCATTCTCGCACAGTAACACAATATCATCCGCATACTCAAGGTCGAGAAGTCTTTCTCCAGGCAACAGATCCACACCACCATTACTTGCATCCGCCAGAGCTGTTTCCAAAATGTCATCGATGGCATAGTTGATGAGGAATGGTGAGATTGGGAAACCCTGCCTAACTCCACTGCTTGAATGGAATTGTGGAGAAAGGTGGTTGTATACCCTCACTCTGCCTGAGGTGTTTGTGTATAGGGCTTTAAGGATGTTAATAAACTTCTCAGGCACTGGGTACAGAAGTAATTAGTTCTAGTTTATAAGTGGGAAATACTATAGCAACAATTTACGGTTCAAATAAAAGTGTGGAATTAGGGTAATACAAAAATTATAAAACCAAAATACTTAATAAGCATGCAATCAATATGGATATAAATGAAACCGTAGGAAAATAGCTTCGAAATATTTTACCTTATATTGTCAAGTCGTCTCTTACAACAGGTTTTCTTCACAGACAGGAAATATTATCTGGTGAATCGTTAGAAAACAATAAGCTGATATTTTGTCCTGGTTCAGAACTTCTGCAATATTCACAGTGCGTTTAGACAAATTAACCGACATTCCAATACTCCATAGTCTTCATAGTATGCAATAGCAGTGTACACTCATGAAGAGTTACAAACTAGGATGAAACGGCTCTTCAGTGCTTATTGGGTTTAGAACAGCTTTTTTTTTTAACTGCGTTTTTAATTTCTGAGCCACCACTCCATGTTTCATTGATATTACTTGTTCACATAGTTGTGATTTAATGATCTAACCATTAAACATTTAAATATTGTGTCTCACACATTTAAATATGATAAATGTAGGATGATGGCTCAATAACTGGTGCTTATTCATTCACTCGGTTTAGAGAAGTTCCAATGCTTGCATTGATAAAACTAGATTGTTCATCAAAATGATTCATAAAATTGCACTGACTGTTTTGTGTAAATAGCCACTTATTTCCTGCATACATATGTAAACACCAATTAGCATAATGTTAAATCAGTGTTCATGACAAATATATTTCATGATAAATATGAACTTCTTTAGTCTCCCTATAAATTGGTTAACGAATGTATTTATTTCATACGATTGATATATTTCACAAATTTAAACAAAGGGATAATGAAAATATCTGTAGAATGTAGTGAATTCATTGTATCTACTTGTTTTCTCATTGACTATTTATTTATTTATTTATTTATTTGAACACATAACTATTGGTACAAAAGGGTACAGAATACATATGCGCCACACAATAATATTGCAGCCAGTAGCAGTTATCATTAATTTGTGTAAGGGCTGTGATACTGTCCGAGTGCCCAAACCAAAGCAGATGGTTTTCTCAAGGTCCACACCACCAGCATTTGACCTAAAGGTCTAATCCACATGGCAGTGGAGCAACGTTAGCAGAACAGTCCCATGGTGGCTGGTGATCAACAATAAGTTCATACACCAGAGAGTAGGGAGAGTCCGCTCTCCCTCTTAAAATGCTCTTACATGACCACGCGTATATAGCCTCTGCCAGGGAAGTCCTACTCACTGCCTTCTCGCACCACGACTGTTGTTTACGAAAATGAGAGGACGAAAAGCGAATGTCCGGCAACGGCTTTAACAGGATTCCAAACCAATGGTGCACATGGGCTAGCTCCAGTATCGTGAATGAACAAATGGCGTATGAACCAATCGTTGGTCACCGGCTGGCTACCATGGGACTGCATCTCCTCACGTTGCTCCACTGCCTTGTGGGTTAGACGTTCAGGTCGAAGGCTCGGGGTGTGGCCCCCTAATTAAACCACTTGCTTCGATTTTGGCACCCGGACAGTATCACAGCTCTCACACAAATCAATTGAGATTTGTGTGGCGCATATGTACTTGGTGCCTCCTTGTACCAATATCTATGTGTTGGACATTCGCTTTTCATCCTCTCAATTTTATAAATAACACTACATACAAGTTTAATGATAAGTTTAACTATTTTTGAATGAATTAACATAATATGGAATTTGTAACATGAATTATCCATCTATAACGAATCAGTTGTTTGGATATAATTGTAATTACGTAATATGAAAAGCGTTTAGAAAGTTTCAAAGGAGCTTTGAGTGAACCTCACTTAATTATGATTAAAATTAATTGAAAAATGAAAATAATAATAATAATAATAAAATCAATATTTAAACTTGCATAACTTTCACTTCCATAACATGTATAAATATGAATTAGCACCAGAAGGGGTTTTGTGAATATTATAGGAATTTTAGTAGTTGAGATCATGAATCAATTGAAGTTAGACCATCACGATGAAAAACTTGGAAGCACTGGACTGCTGTTTTGTCCTATAGTAGGATTCCTTAGCAGTGCGCATTCACGTTCGCGCCTCGCGAGATTCAAACCCAGGTGGTCTAGCTTCAATGGACTCATGATCTCAATTATTTAAATTACTATAATATCCACAAAATCCTCTTCTGATATGAATCAACATATGCTCACTAGTGACTGGCTTCAAGAGGTATTTCCTGGAGTTCTAGTGAGAAGTAGTGACCAGTGGAGTTCAACCGGGTCTGTTGTGAGATAGTAACTCACTGATGACAATGGTGGATGTGTCGCTCAATTTTGTGGACATTAACATCGTCAGATCTCCATTATGAAAAGTTTCGTTCATCAATAAAACTCAAGGAGGAATGCGCTATCGTAGCCAATGTTCGGGGGAGTTGTGTGAAATTGTTCAGAATCGTTCAAAATAGCACACATTCATTCACACTTTATCCATACTTGAATCTTGAGTTATGAAATTATTTTGTAGAATTCTGTTAACAAATTTATTTTTTCTAATTCATGTAGTTTACATTCAATGTTTTCCAGTACCATTGATTCTGACTGTGTTCTTACGGCGAGGGTGTTTTTCACGAAATTGAGGGACGAAAAACGAATGTCCTGCGCTTTACTCGGCTTGGTGGATACAGAGGTTCCATCTAGGCGAGTTGGAAAGCCATAATTTCAAACCAGTGGTGTGCATGACTTCCAGGATCCTAAGGAAACAAGTGGCGTATGAACCTATTGTTGATCATCGGTAACATGGGACTGTATCTCCTTACGTTGCTTCACTGCCTTGTGAACCCTAAGAAAACCGTCCGCTTTGGTATGGGCAACCGGGCAGTATCCCAGCCTTCACATAAATCGAATAATTTATGTGGCGCATATGTATTTGGTGCCTCCTTCTATCAATGTTTATGTTTTTAAATAAATAAAAAATATGTGTGATTACTTTTATTATTAGAGATACACATGGTTGTGATAAGTACACCAGTTAACATAAAACTTAAGAATGACGCGACAATATTCTGATTGCTTCCAGTTACTTTAAACTAAATAATGTTCACCTAAATTCACTTGGTATTGTTTGGCCTGTATCTTCCCATTGAGGTTTAAGACTGCAGTTGATCATTTCACCTAAACTACAAGTTTTCACCTTTATTATTTCTGCTAATTTAATGTTATGTATTATTATTATTATTACTTATAGACAACCATCGAAACCGGACAACAAAAGTAACAGTGTTTTACCATCCAGTACAACTCTTACAGCCGCAAAAATGATGATGAAATAATAATCCTGATACAGATAATAATGAAATTAATGATAATATTAATCTTCAGCTTTACGTTTTGTTTTCTGCCGTTCAATTTGTTGAATATCCTTTCATGCACATTTACCTATACATGTTTATGTTCTATTTTATTTATCCGTTATTGTTTCTTCTCTTAAATTGATCTACTTTTCAGTGCCTTTGAAGCTAACACTTATTGTTTATCCTCCACTTCTTGGTTTTTTGCGATATTGTGATTATTCCTTTCTGTTTATTGGCTTTTTTGTTTATTATTATATCAAGAATCATTTTCTTTGTTATAATTTTCTATTTGTTCATTATTGTCTTACGTGTGTATATGTGCCTTTCACAATTACTAACAATACATTTCATCATAATCTTTTACAAAAAAATTTGCAATTTTCTTTCGGTGCCTTATCAACAATGCCCATTTTTCTTTTTTAAAATTTCTCTATTCAAATTAGAGTTATACAGATGATGTTTTTTGCTTGTGTTCTTTTTTTTTGTTTTTGTTGTTGTTGTTGTTGCATGATTTTGGTTTATTTTTGTAATATTTTGTAATAGTTTCTTTTTGACAACCGTCCACAAATAAATAACACTATATTATTGATTCTGTTGAATATATGTCTTTTGTATGTGTATGTGTGTGTGTGTGTGTTTGTCCCCACCCACAAACAGTTATTCATCAAAATGTATTAAGGATTGTAAAATTTTCACTTCATTTGAATTGATGAACCATCTCTTTGATTTTCTCATTTGCCAATGTTGACCACTTACATTTAAAATTGCACACACACACACACACATAGAAACACACGCATGCATGCACACATTTATTTACTCTTGAACTCAAATGTAATATCCATCACTTTATTTATTATAAATATAAACTAACAATAAGAGTAAATTCAATTCTTTCTCTTGAAACTGTTAATTACTTTTGTTTAATCTGTTTTAGTTGAATATGAACAATTGTTATATCTGCATAGATAATATAAATGATTAATTCTAATTACATATTATATGTCACATGTTTATTTTCGATTAATATTCATTCTATTTACTTCAGTGTATTATTGTTGCTAAGGCTACAACAACAACAACAACTACTACTACAACAACAACAAAAAACTGAGAAAAAAAAAGTTTATTAAAAATAAAATTGTAAACAAAAGTGTAATTAAAATAAAAATGGTTGATTCAAAATATAATTTTTGTAGTTGTTTTATTGTTATAAATGATATGAATGAATTCGCTTGTTGATTATTTGTGAATGATAATAATATTGTTGGCTTTCATCTTCTTCATTATAAAATAATAATGATATGCTTATATAAAAGATTTACTTATTCATCTTAATTTTGTGAAACTGACAATTTTTGATTGAAATCATGAATCGATTGATGTTAGACCTGAAAGCATTGGATGGCCATTTCGTTCTATTATAGGACTCCTCAACAGTGCACATTCACGATCATGGATTGGTTGAGATTAGCGATTAACATCATTAGGTGCCAGCTCAGTTGTCTAGATGGTTAAGCGTTCGCGCACGAGACTGATAGGTTCTGTGTTCAAATCTCTCTGGGATGGGTTGTGAATGCGCACAATAGGAAAATAATGGCTGTCCAGTGCTTCTAGGTTTTCTATGGTGATCTAACATCAATCGGTTGATGATCTCAATCAAAAACCTAATAATCTTCATAACCGTATATTGATAAACTGATAATTTTCTAATAAAAGAACGAGTATACTGTTTCAATGGATTGAGAATTCCACTGTTTACTCACAAAAATATCGAGTTAAATTTCAACTAATAACCTGAAAATATTATCACATTCACTTAGTTTTACACTTAAACTTTAATTAAGCAGTTTATGAAAAATAGATTGAGATAAACTAAATAAAAATGGGACACTGTTAATTTGTGGAAAGTAGTGAGACAATGAAAGCGTCATGTCGAGAAGAATGTCTGTGACAAAGTTGTTTGAAAATGAGGAAAAATGTCGGGTCTAACGAGTAGGATTTAAGACTGGTGATTACGATGTCAGTTCTGCATAAGCTATGATTGAACGAGTAGTGTTTGAGTGGAGAATCTGTACAAGGTTGATGTAGTTTTCTTATAGTGCTCTGAATGATTGACACAGAGAGAGAAGCTGGTACGTGGCCGTGGTATGGGTGAGAGTGGGCTTTCACATGGCCATGTGAATATAACCACTGCCACAAAAGTCCTGCCCATTGCCTTCTCGCACCACGAGTGTTGTTTACAAAATTAAGAGGACGAAAAGCTAGTGTCCAGCACTTTAACCTAGTTGATGGACACAGAGACTCCACCTGGGGGAGTTGGAAAACCTCGATTTCAAACCAATGGTGTACATGGGCTCCTAGATTCTTACTGAACAAATGGTATATGAGCCTATTGTTGATCACCATCTACCATGGGACTGCATCTGCTAACGTTGATCCGCTGCCATGTGGATTAAACTTTCAGGTCAAATGCTGGTGGTGTGTACCCCTAAGAAATCCACCTGTTTTGGTTTTGGCACCCGGGTAGTATCATAGCCCTCACGTAAATCGAATGATTTATGTGATTCATACCTATTCGGTGCCTCCTTGTACCAATGTTTATGTGTTTAAATAAATAAATTATGTCTCTGATTACCACAATAGGATTTCTGTTCCGTTGTTGGTTGGAATGATGAGGAATAGAGATCAGTCAGATGGTATAATGTGGAGTTTTTGTACTTATTTTTAGGGAATGTTTGAATTAATCTGATAACTTAGATTGTACCATTATCCGTGCTGAGATTTCGTCACACACCAAACCACAAGTGCTGATGGGACTTACACGCTCAATGACTTCACACCCTATCATTAGTTCGGGTGTCGATGCAACCCAATCCTGAAGCAACATTTTTAGATTTCGGGGGGGGGGGAGAATCGCATGCTGAACATGCTAGCATTGTTGCTTAAGGTGGTCGAAATACTCTGCATCTTGTCAGTGTCTTCATCAAATAGAACTATGTCATCGGCATATTCAAAGGCAACAACTGAATCTCCCGGTAAATGTTCGACCCCTGGAAATATAGATAAGGAAAGTGTCATCTCTAAAAGCACCTCTACGATAAAGTTAAACAAAAATGGAGAGAGTGGTCAGTCCTGACGAACACTACTTGAGGTAATCAATTCTGATGACAGTTCGCTTCTACTCTTACTACTTCTATCACTACGGGATTTGAATCGAAAATTGTATCTCTGTGCTAATTTAGTGTGGCAACTCGAACTGATGTACGTGCGTACGAAGTTCTACATTGTTACTGACTGGCTGACTGACCAGTATCCTTAGAAATGTCAGGGTTAATTGACTAGAACATGATGCTCTCTGTCACTCTAGATTAGCAACAACTTGCCCTACTTCATTAAAAGTCAAATGACTTATGTTGACTGTCAAAACTGAATACTGCTCTCAATGGTCTAAAAGTGATTTCACATAGGCAATTGATTTCTCATCATGAAAACAAGAACAAATATTTGATGAGAACAAAATGAATTTATTTGATTTCATTTTGTTCTGGTTATTTGTTTACAACTTTATAATATTAAAATAGTCATGAATACGAGATTGGGTTATATGATGTATGTAAATGAGCATTGTTGGTATACGATTACCGTATATGTATATCGTTTAATGAAAATCGTGTGAAATTCTATTCTTAACATTGTTTAAGTAAGCTGATTTGACTGAATCCAATGAATTATTGTTCTTTATATTATATAATAACAGATTGATTAACAATACATATACTTTCCTGTTATCATATTTTTATCTATTTTTGTACTGAGTTTTGTTTTTGCATAATGTATTTTGATGCTCTGGTTTGATGACACTTATACAGATAGTTTAGTTTTATTCATCTTGTCTATAAAATCCATTGTTTCTAAATTAAATAATGTATTTATCAACTACTAGAGTATACGTCACATGTATGAGTAGAATTAAGTAGTATGTAACAGAAATAAGAAATGAGTTTTTTACCAATAGAAGATTGGTCCCCGAATGCCCTGGTACCGCCGACAGTGCGGAGAGTCCGCTATCCCTCTCGAAATTCTCTCACATGGCCACGCGTATATAGCGTCTGCCAGGGAAGTCCTACTCACTGCCTTCTCGCACCACGGCTGTTATTTACGAAAATGAGAGGACGAAAAGCGAATGTCCGGCACCGGCTTTAACAGGATCCCAAATCAATGGTGCACATGGGCTAGCTCCAGTATCCTGAACGAACAAATGGCGTATGAACCAATCGTTGGTCACCGGCTGGCTACCATGGGACTGCATCTCCTCACGATGCTCCACTGCCTTGTGGGTCAGACGTTCAGGTTGAAGGCTCGGGGTGTGGCCCCCTAATTAAACCACCTGCTTCGGTTTGGGCACCCGAGCAGTATCACAGCCTTCACACAAATCAAATGAGATTTGTGTGGCGCATATGTATTTGGTGTCTCCTTGTACCAATATCTATGTGTTAAAATAAATAATAATAAATAAATACAATAGAAGATTGAAGTAAAGGGATTAGGTAGGAAAAATGAGAGCAATTGATATAACAATGGAATTGAAAGAATGATTCAGTATTTAAAAGAAAAATCAAGGAAGATGCGCCTATATTATATTTAATGTATGATTTTCATATTTTACAAAGGTACTGTATGATCTCCTATAAAATAATAAATCGGTTTACGATACCTTCGTTCACTACACCACTATATATTTATTTTCACGTAATAACTTGTACCTTGATTCTGCTCAAATTCTAACGATGATGATGATGTTGATAGGCATTGGGCGAAGTAATCTGATATCACGATGTAGTTTCCAACTTGTAGGAGACTTAACAGTTATGTTCATGTTCAATTATTGATGTTTTTTTTTTTCATGAACTGTGTCATTTGACGGTGACAGAACGTTGTTTACAAGATGAGGTGTTCATTTTATTGAATTTAGTGCCAAGATATCTTATAAATTTTACAATAAATGTTTACTTGATTGACATTATAAAATATAATTCCACAGTTTAAAGTAACATGCCAATGAACTTACTTCATACATATAATGGCTATTGGGAGAACTAGTGGATGAAGATTTGTAGCCTTTAGTAACTTCCTATTTTTATAGAATTAATATTATTGTATTGGTTGTTACTGGTTAAATCAATTTATAACAACATAATTTAACATTCCATGTGTAAACGATGGATCAATGCTAACAAAGTGTCAGTTTCGGTGACATTATGCTGATAGTCATCATGTTGACTTTATCATAATTGTTGTATTCATTCATCGTACTATCAATTGTATAGATTTCATTCTTAAATTGTTTATAATTATTAAAAGAATGTATATTTGCATAGTACTCTGTCGGTATTGTTGTTATAGACATGTGGTTTAGTAATACAATGTGTTGTTTTCTAATTTTGATATTGATTATCATTCGTTTACTCTTTTTGCTTTAGCGTAATCAATGTCATGGTTAAGTAACTTAGCCAATAAAGCTGAGAATTTTTTGAACACTCTGGATAATTCAGCTGCAGAAGTCTTCAGATCAACTGATCAACAGAGATTTCTTGAAGAACATATCAGTGACTATGTGGACAATAGTAGCAACTATCCTATTGAGACATCATTTAGATATCAAACATTAACCGATTCTAATCAACCTAATGAGTTGTTGATAAATTCAAGATATGATATGCCTGTTACAGTAAAACCATTGGAAATGTCCGCTACAACTAGTTTTTATCAATCATTATCAGAAAGTAATAATCAACGTACACTAGTTGATACACTAAATAACAACACTTCATCTGAATTATCATCATCGTCTTCTATTCCAAGCAAAATATCCAGGTAATTATTTCGAAAATGATAAAAACTGCTTATAATAAGTTACAGTTTATTGTTTAAACAAGTTGTTATTACCATTTTTCAATTGATTTGATCTTTATCAGAAGAAGTTTTGTGGAGATTGTAGTAATTCCAATGGTTAAGATTATGAGTCAGTTGAAGCTAGATTACCATGGAAAACCTGGAAGCACTGTAAGGTCGTTTCGCCCCAGTATGGGACTCCTCAGCAGTGCGCATCCACGACCCCGCCCCCTGCGAGATTCGCGCGCGAGCACTTAACCACTAGACCACTGAGCCGGCATCCAATGGTGTTATTGTATTACTTCAACTAATCCACGAAATTAAGTGACACATTCACGTCGTGAATTCGTACTTCTGAGGAGTGTTACAATAGGACGAAATGGCTGTCCAGGTTTTCCATGGTGGTCTAGCTTCAACTGACTCATGATCTTAACCATTGAAATTACTACAATCTCCACAAAACCCCTTTTGATAATAATCAACGTATGCTTACTAGTGACTGGCTTCAAGAGGTATATCCTGGAGTTCCAGTGAGAAATCGTGACCAGTGGAGTCCAACCGGGTCTGTTGTGAGATAGTAACTCACTGATGACAATGGTGTATATGTCGCTCAATTTCGTGGATTAGTTGAATTTAGACATTAACACCGTTGGATGCCGGCTCAGTTGATCAAGTGGTTAAGTGCTCGCGTGCGAAACCAGTAGGTCCTGGGTTCGAATCTGAGGAGTCCCATAATAGGACGGAACGGCCGTCCAGTGCTTCCAGGTTTTCCATGGTGGTCTAGCTTCAACTAACTCATGATCTTAACCATTGATTTGATCTTTTCATTGACCTCTATTATCGATAACCTAGAGGATTGAAGGATAGATTAATGAACCAACCAATTTTCAAACAATTTATTGCAGTTGAGTACTTCACTCCTTAATCGTTCCCAATTAAATGGTAACAAAGTAATAATGAGTTAGTTGCATAATGTTTAGAACATTATAATTAAACCTAAAGTGAATATTCATAATCAATTAATTATTACAAATAGTTACATAATTAAAACTGAATATAGATACTAATGTTTCTTGTTATCTGTGAAATTGATGATAACAACATAACGAGAACCATTCATGAGATGGTGGAGAAGATTTTTAGCTCAGGTGGATGATTTTGATGGAGTTTTTTTGTTCTCTGAACTGGATGGTTTGGTCGTGCAGCTTGCATCGTTCTCCTGAACGACATCCTCAGCACAAACGTCAGATAGAAGTCTGAAGTTTGTGCTGAGGATGTCGTTCAGGAGAACGATGCAAGCTCCACGACCAAACCATCCAGCTCAGGGAAAAAAACTCCATCAAAAAAAAAACCATTTATATTTACATCCAATTTTAATTATGTAATTATTTGTAGTAATTAACGGATTATGAATATTCACTTTAGGTTTAATTTTAATGTTCCAAACATTATACTACTAACTTATTATTACTTTATTGAACTGACTAACCACCATCTAATTGATATCGATTTCTTATTCACTTGTTACTTACGCCCGTTACCCCTCGTATAGGAGTATAGGTCGCCAACCAGGACTTTCCATCGAACTCTGTCCTGGTCAATCCTTTCCAGTTGTTGTTCATCCTTTTGGCGTTTGCTTTCGATTCTCAGCTCAGTATGTTCCTTGGTTTTCATCTTTCTCTTCCCTTTAGGATTACAACTTAACGCTTGCCTCATGATGCAGTCTGATGATTTCCACAATTTATGACTTATCCATTTCCATTCTTTTTTTATATCCTCTTCAGCTAGAAAATGGTTTGTTCTCTTTCACAGTAGGGTGTTGTTGATAGTATCCATCCAAGGGTCATTGAGTATCTTGTATAGGCAATTGTTTATAAATACTTTTACATTTTTGATGATAGTTGCAGTAGTTCTCCAAGTTTCAGCTCCGTACAGTAGAACTGTCTTGGCGTTCGTATTGAAGATTCTGACTTTAATATTGATTGACAGTTGCTTCGAGTTCCATATATTCAATTATAGGAATGCTGCCCTTGCTTTGCCAGTCCCCACCTTTACGTCTGCATCAGATCATCTATGATGCGTTCCAGATACGTGAATATTTCCACCTCTTCCAGAGCTTCTCCACCAAGTATTATTAGGTTGATGTTTTTCGTATTGTATTTGAGGATCTTGGTTTTTCCCTTGTGTATATTGAGGCCTACTGATGCAAAGGCTTCTGCTACCCAGTATAGGTCCCAATAGCCGAGATATCGAGCGACACATTTTCTGTAGAGTCATCTGATTATTATAGTTATGATGAATTCACAACGCTATGAATCTCTTTAGTAACATTACATACCATTGTGCTTAAATTATATATTATATTATCTGATGTTATGATCTGGCCTCCAATCCTGTCATTGTGGGAATTCATTAGCCAGTTATACAGGTCAAGAAAATAAAGGCTGTTTCAGTGAGACTATAATTTATAGACTATCTTTGAGCGACGCTAAATTCAACTTGAGGATGTCCACCTAATAACTAGGACTAAATGAGGGTTATAAAGCAATGTAATGAATTAGAATTATGATTTACAATTGATGTTTAGGGTTGGAAACTAGATTTAAGATTATCATCACAAACTGACATCAGCTAAACTGCCAAAACGCTATTTAGCAAAATGGATGACTGAAATTCGCACCAAAATCCAAGACCTGTTATATTAAATTTGATTCGTTTTTCCATATAGTATAATCTTGCCGTTGTTTTATAAATTTTGTTACCGTACACGGGAAAATTATGCTTATAATTCATGCATATAAATAGGTAGCGGAAGTGGTGCAACTAAGAATTTAAGGAGGATGGCCTTGATCAAGTAAATCATTCGCTTACTGAAAATAGGCAATCTACACTTGTCTCTCATTTACTATCCGGAATCATGTGATCCGTCTAGTTTTTCTCAGAAGATCATTCATTCACCCATTTCATTTATAAACATACATTTTGTGTCTTTGCTAATATTTTCTGAGCAAAACCAGTGGGATTCTCTTTGTATAAGTAAAGATAGTTAGTATGCTCACCTACTACTGCACTCTATTCCTTTCGTGTCAAATTAAAGATTTGCACAGATCAGTATTATCTCTGTATTACGTTCAGGTTCGTTTAAAAGACTATATAGTAATTATATACGGTACGCTATGTCAGGTTGATTAGATACCCTGGTACGGCCGAGAGTGCGGAGAGTCAGCTCGCCCTCTCGAATGACCATGTGCCTACAACCACTGCCTGGGAAATCCTATTCACCGCCTTGTCGCGGCGGGAGTGTTGTTTACGAAATGGAGAGGACGTAAAGCGAACGTCCGGCTCCTTAACCGAGTTGGTGGTTACGGAGGATCCAGCTAGGGTAGTTGGAAAACCTTGATTTCAAACCAATGGTGTACATGGGCTTCAGGATCCTAAGGAAACAAATGGCATATGAACCAGTTGATTGGTCACTGGCTACCATGGTTCTCTAAGTCAGTGGCTTGGTGAGTCCCAGATTTAATTGCCTCTCCGTCTACTTCAGTTTGAGTAACCGATTTGTTTCTCTAACTCTCATACAATCGCTACAATTATAAGCTGAGCTCATATATATCTATAATTGATGAATAATTTACATTATATTAACAGGGTTTTTGCATGATTTTCAGGAATAAAGATTTAAAATCTGCAGCCAAATCAAACAGTTTGATACAACAATCAAATGATTTAGATCTATTTAATTTTTTAAATAATAATAAATCAGTCAACTCAGATGAAATCACAAATCCATTAGAACGAGACTCAGTGAGACGAGATTCTTTATTATCTACTAGCGATAAAATTGATGAAGATCAGAGTAGTGGTTATGAAACATCACTGTCGACTAAACACTCTGGTACACCTATTAAAACAAGTAAAGGAGAAGAGAGTTCTGCTGTAACAACTGTTCATGAACTAGAGGTTCTAAGTGAAGATTCTTGTAAACAGTCACGAAATACACATTCCTCCATTATCAGTGATCTTCAACTAGAGAATAAACTTCTTCGTAGTGAAGTCTCATCTTTAAGTCAAGAAGTGTCTGGATTATTGCGGCGTAATCATAAAGCTTCAGAAGAAATTAAACAACTTACTGGTCAGGTGAGTGAATATTTTTCCTTGAAGTATTTTCATGAATGGGGATAATGATGATTACTGCTTAAAACATTCAGTTATGAAGTTGAACCGCATTCCACCTACTTTTGTTTGACCTCCTAGAGAGTATCACACGATAATGGTATCGTTCATAAGTGGACTTAGATTTTGTGATTATCAGGTTGGATTGAACACTGAATGAATCGTTTTGTTTTCGTATTGATAATTAATTCCATAGTTTTGTCGGCTACTGATGTGAAACCAACAAATTCCTATCTTTGATAATAGACTAGTCACGGTTGTACCAATGGTTCGGATTGATATAGTCAGCCTTATTGTTTATTGTCTTTTTGTAGTTACTATTTCCAATGATAACTTTCATAGATTTCATATTTATCAGGCTTTTTGTAATTAAATATGGTTTTGTGTGTGTTTGTGTGTTGCCCCCAAATGCCCTGGTACGGCTGAGAGTGAGGAGAGTCCGCTTTCCCTCTCGAAATGCTCTCACATGGCCATGCGTATATAGCCTCTGCCAGGGAAGTCCTACTCACTGCCTTCTCGCACCACGGCTGTTGTTTACGAAAATGAGAGAACGAAAAGCGAATTTCCGGCGCTTTAACCGGATCCCAAATCAATCGTGCACATGGGCCCCAGTATCCTGAAGGATCAAATAGCGTATGAACCAATCGTTGGTCCTCGGCTGGCTACCATTGGACTGCATCTCCTCACGATGCTCCACTGCCTTGTGGGTTAGACGTTCAGGTCGAAGGCTCGGGGTGTGGCCCCTTAAGAAAACCACCTGCTTTGGTTTGGGCACCCGAGCAGTATCACAGCCCTCACACAAATCAATTGAGATTCGTGTGGCGCATATGTACTTGGTGCCTCCTTGTACCTATACCTATGTGTTAAAATAAATAATGTGTTTGTGTGTTTACTTGTTCTAATGAGTGATTAATTGATACTGTAAGTTTAAATTTACTTTACTTTTTACTATATAATATATTAGTTAATATGAACAGTTGTACCTCTCCTTCGTATTTCGGAAACATTTCTGATTTCAGTAATTTAGTAATATCATATACGGTGTATTATTATTGTTACTACTGCTATTTCATACCTTTTACTTATTGATTTTGTAAATTTCATCTTGTGGTTGGTGATTTGATGTGACAGTATAGGTCGATGAATGTTTGTATCAAATCCTTTGTTATGTCTAATTGACTAACTGTAGTATGTTGATTTAACTCGGTATACTACTGAAAATGTGAATAGTTATATTCTGATTTAATGGCTTAAATAGTATCTTACTGATTATGAGATTTGAATTTTCAATGGTTGTTCCTGGTAGTCTACTAATGAATATAAAAAAATGAAGCCGAAATATTGATAGACTATTCCACCTGTTATATCCTGAATCAGAAGAATAGTCATTTTATTAATTGAACTAAAATTTGTAAATTAACTCCGTCACCAATGTTATAGCTTGCTCTTCGCCCCCAAATGCCCTGGTACGGCCGAGAGTAGGGAGAGTCCGCTCTCCCTCTCGAGATTCTCTCACACGGCCATGCGTATATAGCCTCTGCCAGGGGAAGTTCTACTCACTGCCTTCTCGTGGCGGGGGTGTTGTTTACAAAAATGAGAGGACGAAAAGCGAATGTCCGGCACCGGCTTTAACCGGACTCCAAACCAATGGTGCACATGGGCTGGCTCCAGTATCCTGAAGGAACAAATGGCGTATGAACCAATCGTTGGTCACCGGCTGGGTACCATGGGACTGCATCTCCTCACGATGCTCCACTGCCTTGTGGGTCAGACGTTCAGGTCAAAGGCTCGAGGTGTGGCCCCCTAAGAAAACCACCTGCTTCGGTTTGGGCACCCGGGCAGTATCACAGCCCTCACACAAATCAATTTTGATTTGTGTGGCGCATATGTACTTGGTGCCTCCCTGTACCTATACTTATGTGTTAAAATAAATAAATAGCTTGGTCTTCACTACACAATTCACAAATATCAACACAGGGGTGGCAACATTAGGTAAACGCAACACAGTTGCTCATCAGTGTTATTTCTACAAAACTATTAGAGCAGCTATGAACTATTAAACAGATAAGGGTAAGACATTGATTATCTGTGACTGCGAACAATATGTTTAATAGAAAAGATACTAATCTTTGTATCCGAGTTTCCTTTACTGTTATATTAATTATATATAAATAATTATAACTTAAAATAAATTTTGTACTGAATCGATTTGAAACAGAAATTGTCAGAATGCAGTAGGATAACATACGGAAAATATTAAAGTATAAGTTAAACTGTAGTTCGTTTCTTGTCACCTTGAATTTCAGTGATTTTCTAGGTAATAGCTGTTTACGATGAAACAGCTTCAAATTTCACAATCCAAATCAACTTATTTTAATTACACTACTTTATATCATGCTATTCTGTTAAGATTAGCCTAATATGTAGGTGGTATTTTTCATGGATTGATCTCAATTAGTTTACCATCAAAAACTAGGGAGTACTGGACAGCTTTTTCACCTCTTCATTAGAGTCTATCGGGGTCCAAACTTGAGATCTTTAGATCTTACAGCGATCTAATTTACTTCGAGATAAGTCCCCGAAATTCTAACAGAAGGTCATGATTCAGCTATGCCAGTTCTGAGATGATTGTCACTGATACGATGGAATGATCGTTGTACTATATCGCGAACATAAATAATAGATTTCCCACTCAGTAATGTACTGATTAAACACCTGAAAGTTTTCTCAAGATTCTCGGACAAAGTCGTTGATGTTCACTTCTGAGGAGTTTCATATTAGAACGAAGCAACTAGCCAGTGCTTTCTGATTTCCACTGGCATCAGGGGGTTAAAGGTCAGAGTTTTCATCACAAACTGATATCAACTATAATACGAAAGTGATATTTAGTCTTGTAGATGAATGAATTTCTCACAAAAATTAAAGAGGCTCTGTCTTAAACCTAATAAATTCATCCATTAGGTATAATATCATCGGGTTAAGATTATTCCGTTCAGTATTAAGGGCTTAGAAAATGTGTTGACGCTATTAGCTCATCCCTATGCTGCACTTTTACTATAAAGTCTACTGATTCCATTTCTATATCATGATAGGTTGATCGTTTGAACAATCAACTAAAAGATTCTGATCAACGTGTTCGTGAACTTCAAATTAAAATTAAAGAGTCTGAATTATCGAAAACACCAAATATCAACAATGTTGAATTGTTAGAAACTAAATTAAAACAAACCGAAATGGAATTGTCAACTGTACAAAATAATTTGAAATATGTACAATCTCAATTGGAGAAAAATAAGCTGACAATTGTAAGTATCTTTTAGTTATGTATATCTCAATTAATTATCTTGATTTATTTAGCTCTATTAATAGATGAAGTGTTATTCCCTGTTAACTTCATTTCGTTGATAATGCTAGTAAAGCTTTTTGAAATACGTTTATCATGAAGTAGTTCCTTTAAAGGATTAAATAAACAAGACACTAGTCAATACTGACGAATCAACCAGTCGTAGACTGAACAGCTTATCTGTAGCGTCTCACACTATAATACTGAGTGATGTATATCCAGAGCTAACAGGAAGCATCAGTTCCCTTACAACTACGTTTTGGTTTAAGCTCCTGGTAGATCTTCCTGCTGATTCGACAGCTATTTGGGTATCATACCAGGCTACCTGGATTTGCATATCTGATTAACTGTTTTTCTAGTTGTTCCTTTAATGAAATCATCTAATAATTGAAGTATAAGTCTAATATCTAATCTTTTCACAAATGAATATCAATATGAACGTAGATGACAGTGTTAAGTCACTTAACCTGATAACCTTATTGCAAATTTAATTGATATAATTGAAGAAACATTCATAACTAGATGAAATGATGTCAGTTACTACTATGTAATTTATCAGTAGTAGTATATCTATTATCTTTACTAGTTGTAATAACTACTTCCTTCATTCAATATTTTCATGTTCTTGTAGAATACTTTGGAAGCTAACCTGTATGAATCTCGTCAACAGAGTTTAATTGCAGATAAACGAATTGAACTAACTCAAAATGACAATATTCGATTAACACGTGAATTAACACAATACAAAGAGAAAGCCAATCATATTTTGGCAATGAAAGAACGAGTAAGGTTTTTCTATCTCTCAAAAATTCTAACTGACAAATATATTTGTGAATAGGTGAATAAGTATGTAATACTTGAACCGATATATATATATATATATATATATATATATATATATATATATATATATATATATATATGGCCACGCGTATATAGCCTCTGCCAGGGAAGTCCTACTCACTGCCTTCTCGCACCACGGCTGTTGTTTACGAAAATGAGAGGACGAAAAGCGAATGTCCAGCGCTTTAACCGGATCCCAAATCAATGGTGCACATGCGCTAGCTCCAGTATCTTGCGGGAACAAATGGCGTATGAACCAATCGTTGGTCACCGGCTGGCTACCATGGGACTGCATCTCCTTACGATGCTCCACTGCCTTGTGGATCAGATCTTCAGGTTGAAGGCTCAGGGTGTGGACCCCTAAGAAAACCACTTGCTTCGGTTTTGGCACCCGGACAGTATCACAGCTCTCACACAAATCTATTGAGATTTGTGTGGCGCATATGTACTTGGTGCCTCCTTGTACCAATATCTATGTGTTGGACATTCGCTTTTCATCCTACATACAAGTTTAATGATAAGTTTAGCTATTTTTGAATGAATTAACATAATATGGAATTTGTAACATGAATTATCCATCTATAACGAATCAGTTGTTTGGATATAATTGTAATTACGTAATATGAAAAGCGTTTAGAAAGTTTCAAAAGACCTTTGAGTGAACCTCACTAAATTATGATTAAAATTAATTGAAAAATGAAAATAATAATAATAATAAAATCAATATTTAAACTTGCATAACTTTCACTTCCATAACATGTATAAATATGAATTAGCACGAGAAGGGGTTTTGTGAATATTATAGTAATTTTAGTAGTTGAGATCATGAATCAATTGAAGTTAGACCATCACGATGAAAAACTTGGAAGCACTGGACTGCTGTTTTGTCCTATAGTAGGATTCCTTAGCAGTGCGCATTCACGTTCGCGCCTCGCGAGATTCAAACCCAGGTGGTCTAGCTTCAATGGACTCATGATCTCAATTATTTAAATTACTATAATATCCACAAAATCCTCTTCTGATATGAATCAACATATGCTTTCTAGTGACTGGCTTCAAGAGGTATTTCCTGGAGTTCTAGTGAGAAGTAGTGACCAGTGGAGTTCAACCGGGTCTGTTGTGAGATAGTAACTCACTGATGACAATGGTGGATGTGTCGCTCAATTTTGTGGACATTAACATCGTCAGATCTCCATTATTAAAATAAAAAATAAAATACTATACTACAGAGTTGAAAAGTTTCGTTCATCAATAAAACTCAAGGAGGAATGCGCTATCGTAGCCAATGTTCGGGGGAGTTGTGTGAAATTGTTCAGAATCGTTCAAAATAGCACACATTCATTCACACTTTATCCATACTTGAATCTTGAGTTATGAAATTATTTTGTAGAATTCTGTTAACAAATTTATTTTTTCTAATTCATGTAGTTTACATTCAATGTTTTCCAGTACCATTGATTCTGACTGTGTTCTTACGGCGAGGGTGTTTTTCACGAAATTGAGGGGCGAAAAACGAATGTCCTGCGCTTTACTCGGCTTGGTGGATACGGAGGTTCCATCTAGGCGAGTTGGAAAGCCATAATTTCAAACCAGTGGTGTGCATGACTTCCACGATCCTAAGGAAACAAGTGGCGTATGAACCTATTGTTGATCATCGGTAACATGGGACTGTATCTCCTTACGTTGCTTCACTGCCTTGTGAACCCTAAGAAAACCGTCCTAAAAAACCGTTCCTTACATCTGAGTATTGGTTTAATTTTGATTATTGCAGATTTTGCCTTTTCTATGTTATGGGTTATGGCGCTGTCAGGGGTTCCTTTGTTATTTATAGTAGAGCCAAGATAGTGGAAGGTATCTACTTCCTCTATTTCTTTATTTCCTATCCTGACAGCTGTTAAGTTGTCTTTTTTATTTATAATCATGACTTTGGTTTTGGAGATTGATATCTCCATACCAATATTAGCTAAGTAATTTTGTAAGTGGTTTAAGGCTTTTGTAGCCTCTTCCGTGGTATTTGTGATAAGACACAAGTCATCAGCATATTCTAGGTGTTTGATTGTCCAGATTCTATTATGCTGATCCTTTAGTGTAATGCCTTCTGTGGTTTTATCTATAGTACATTCTAATATATTTTGAAAGACTAGGTTGAAGATGGCCGGACCTTCTTTACTACCCTGTCTGACCCCCCTATGCATTGTAAAGTTTAATTGAGTATTTCTTAGATAGCCTTTAGGCTTATCTAATAGTTTAGTTAAGCAGGCATTTATGTTATAGGACGAACTTAGTCTATTCAGCGTGTCTAGTATTAATTGTTTAGGTATGGTGTCGAAAGCTTTAGTTAGGTCTACAAAAGTTAAGACAATGGTATGTTTCGTGTCTATGGCAGTTTGGATTACGTGTCTTAGAGTAGTTATTGCATGTGTAGTTGCTAGATTTTTTCTAAACCCAAACTGTGTTGCTGGAAGATAGTTATCTGTTTGTTGTACTAGTCTATTGCATACTATGCCTGCAAATAGTTTTCCTATTGTGTCCAGTAAGAATATACTTCTGTAGTTATTGGGGTCAGATCTTAATCCCTTATTTTTGTATATACTTATTACATCTGCGTCTAGCCAGTGGTCTGGCATAGTGCACGGGTTTCTCCATATTTTATTCATTATATTTAGTAATACGTTAGTCAATTTACTACTCCCATGCTTAATCATTTCAGTAGTGATGCCGTTGTTACCTGGAGTAGTAGGGAAAGCTATCAAGCTTGAATCAGAGACTTCAACAAATGGCATGAGATTAATAAACTTATGCGAAACATCAAGTCTACAAGTAATGAATACTTTCCTTACTAAACCTACCCATAGGACATCCACCTGGGTACACCCCAAGACACAAACTGAACATATGTTAGATCTAATATTAATAGAAAATAACTCTAAGCTAATGGTCTGTGACATACACAATAGCCGAACTATGGAAGCAAACTCTGATCACTACATGGTCACAGCCATACTCAAACTAAAATACTTAAATAATAAACTGACCCCAAACAATAATAAGATACCAAAACGAAGACAACGCAAGGCGATACATGCCTTGACGTCGGATTACCCGAACATACTAGACAAGCTACTTCAAAATAATTGTAATCTAAACCAGGTAGAACAATCCATCATACAAGCGGCTAATAAAGCCGCAATCCCTCATAAGTCGGCCACAAAAAGATGGCAACATACAATAAGCGATCTCTTAAAAAATGAAATAAAATATAGAAAACAACTAAGATTAGCTTGGCTTAATAACCCCACTACCTTAAATAAAAATCTCTACACACAAGCGAGTAAGATAGTAAATAAAAAGATTAAGTTAGCAAAAGACCAATATATCAAAGATAGGCTTCACCAACTTGTTTGGCTGGAAGGGGCACCACAGGGATTTTATCTAGCGTTAGTTCGGGGTCCTGGGTACCCCCTGTAGATAGATAAGTGGGATTTAGTTTTAATTTAGCACTAAATAGGTTCTGATAGTGATATTGAAGATCGCTATCTTTAACTTGATTTGTTCTTTTGGGTCTATAAGATTGATTTCGAATTGTAGCCAATATATCATCCAGCATTTTATATGCTAAGTGTAGGTCATGTTTCTTGAAGAGTGAGTTCATCTCATCTATCCTATCTTTGATATATTGGTCTTTTGCTAACTTAATCTTTTTATTTACTATCTTACTCGCTTGTGTGTAGAGATTTTTATTTAAGGTAGTGGGGTTATTAAGCCAAGCTAATCTTAGTTGTTTTCTATATTTTATTTCATTTTTTAAGAGATCGCTTATTGTATGTTGCCATCTTTTTGTGGCCGACTTATGAGGGATTGCGGCTTTATTAGCCGCTTGTATGATGGATTGTTCTACCTGGTTTAGATTACAATTATTTTGAAGTAGCTTGTCTAGTATGTTCGGGTAATCCGACGTCAAGGCATGTATCGCCTTGCGTTGTCTTCGTTTTGGTATCTTATTATTGTTTGGGGTCAGTTTATTATTTAGGTATTTTAGTTTAAGTATGGCTGTGACCATGTAGTGATCAGAGTTTGCTTCCATAGTTCGGCTATTGTGTATGTCACAGACCATTAGCTTAGAGTTATTTTCTATTAATATTAGATCTAACATATGTTCAGTTTGTGTCTTGGGGTGTACCCAGGTGGATGTCCTATGGGTAGGTTTAGTAATGAAAGTATTCATTACTTGTAGACTTGATGTTTCGCATAAGTTTATAAATCTCATGCCATTTGTTGAAGTCTCTGATTCAAGCTTGATAGCTTTTCCTACAATACTGGGGTAGTAATTGTGAAGGTCCCGGCCCAGCCTACAGTTGAAGTCACCTAATAAGATTATGGGGAGTTTATTTAGTTTAAGTTTCTTAATAGTGTTATTCAGTTTTAAGTAGAAGGTTTCTTTACTGATGTCTTCAGTAGAAGACTCAGTTGGGGCGTAGCAACCGATAACGTTGATAGTTTGGTTGGTGATTTTACTATGTATTTTAATGGTAGCTATTCTACCATCTACCTCTTTAAAGTTGGTGGCTTTAACCATTGATTGGTTATTAATGATGAAACCGACACCGGTGTTCCGGTAGTCGTTTATGTCAGGATTAGAATTTAGGAAGGTTATATTTTTGTCTAATTTGATGGTTTTGGAGACCATCCTTGTTTCAGTAATCACTGCTATGTGGTACTTACGTTCGATGATTTGTTCTGCGATCAGTTGGAGTTTACTCTCTTGAGAGCAACCCCGGACATTCCATAAACCAAATTTTAGTTTTTGTGAATTTTTTTTGTCGTTTTCTGAACCATCAATAATTGTGCTATGTTTCTTTGTAGTTTTCGTAATCAGATGGTGGGTATAGGTCGAGTGGGTGATTAGCCCGATCTCTACCTCCCGGGTTACCGCTCACGTTAGTTAGTGGGAATAGCCACACTATCCAGGAGGCACGACGAGGACGTGTGAGTCGGATTTTACCTCCCATTCCTGTGGTAACTTTTCTGACACCTCTTGCTTCAAACTCCGAAAAAAAAAAAAACATCAAAAGAATAGATAGGCCACGCTTTCACGGTCTGTATTCGTACTAAAAATCAAAATCAAGTAAGCTTTTGCCCTTTTACTCTACGCCAGGTTTCTGTCCTGACTGAGCTCACCATAGGACACCCGCGTTACTATTTGACGGATGTACCGCTTCAGTCAAACTCCCCGCCTGACATGGTCTTCAGAACGGGTCGCACATCACATCAAGACTCAAACACCGCAATTTGCACCACGACTCATCTGACATGACCAAGATACCGAAGTACGCAGCGATAGACCACGCACCCCGGAATGTGCTTTGAACCATAATACAATTTCGTTCCCGTTTCACTGAATAAGTAAAGAAACAATGATAGCAGTGGTATTTCATTTACGCTGGACACCGAAGCACCCAGCTCCCACCTATACTACATCCATCATGTCTCCTCACAAAGTCGGACTAGAGTCAAGCTCAACAGGGTCTTCTTTCCCCGCTAATTCTGCCAAGCCCGTTCCCTTGGGAAGATTCAAGTAAAACAATATCAAGTGAATTAAATGAAGTCATGTTATTCTGCTACGATATTTGTTCTTTATTTATTCACGTTTATAAATGAGAAAGGTTGTATGAAAAATCATCGAACATACTTTCAATGAGATTATCTTCTAGGTGCTCAAAATAGATGTACAGGATAATATGACTGAGGAATGAGATTTGTTGAACCTGGAGTTTTCATTAGATATGAAGAAAACTAAGTTTTTGAGGCTAAAGGATATCATTCAAAATTTTATTCCATCTTTCAATCTCACCTTCATTGATATGGACTGTTTTAATGGCCGCGTTTAATAATGTTCACCCTTTTTAATTGTTCCCTATTCGCTCTCACCCTAATCCTGTGATTCCTTCACAACTCGATCGTTTTATTTTGCATGCATAAATTAGTGTACTGAATTTATATTCAGTAGTTACATTAAAACGGTAAACATAAGAGGGACTTGCTATGAATTGACAATTTGTTTACTTAGTACATTTCTTTTTTTATTTATATCTTATACGCTAAAAAACACATAAGCCGATAGTATTGGAAAGTCATCATTTTTTTCTCTCTCGATATAAATCAGTTTCAAGCAAACAGTGCACCTTGGATTTCAATGTTACTCATTCAGTCTTTTTTTCTGTTCAATATGAGATATAAGCAAAGATGGTTAGTGGCTAGCAGTGGAATCCAGGACGCGCGTTTCGTCCTATTTGGGACTCGTCAGCTGGATGTACCTGCATCTCAGAGTTGATATTCACTCTGGGACTCGAACGCAGTACCGTTCGCTTCAAACGCTATCGCGTTATCCACTTAACTACTGAGTCCTATCAAACTTTGCTTATAATGCTTGTAAATTAGGGAAATATCGAGGCAATACGCACAGTATGCACATATGCCAATAAGAGACTGATCAATTTCAGTCTTAAACATCAATGGGAAGATTCAAGTAAAACAATATCAGGGGAATATGGGATATCTTTTTAATGTTAAGTTTACTTTCTATTAATAACACAGATTTTCTCATCATTGTTTGAACATATATTTCATCGACTGAATTTTAGGACATTGATCTCCTACCAGAAGTTCCACTTATCGACTTAGAATACTCAGGTGATATAGTCCTGTTTGGAGAAGACTGATAAAATGCAGTCTTTTGATAGCACTGAGTAACTATGCCAGTATGTTTGGGATGCGCTTCTCCGCCTCTAAATGCAAGTTGTTACTTCAGGACTTGCCTGCGTCAACACCTAAACTAAAGATACGGAGTGAAGTAGTCGAACACGTTGACAACTTCACTTATCTCGGAAGTCTGATCAATCCTAATGCGTTAGTGTCTGACGAAATCCCAGCATGGATTCGATAAGCTCGTTTGGCTTTTACCAACTTACGTCACCTATGACGAATGCGAGATATCCGTCTATCAACAAAAGGACGAGTATACTGCGTGGCAGCTCGTTCTGTTCTACTTCACGGATGCGAAACGTGGTCATTAATAGTAGAAGATACTCGTAAGTTACCAGTATTTGATCACAGATGCCTTAGAAATATTGCTCACATCTTCTGGGATCATCGGTTAAGTAGTAGCGAGGTTAGACGCAAGGTATTAGAGAATGATGGTAAATCAGATGACGAGGTTGTGAATCTTGATCGACTGAGATGTTTGGGGTCTAGTGAAGGAGAACACAGGTGAGAACAACCGAATTATATTTTTGCACAAAATTACAGAACCGATCACAATGGTGTCGGTGTATACACTTTCTGTTTTCCCTTAAACTATGGGATTAAAATTATTTCATATCTTTCTTTCTACGATCTAATTCTTTTCTTCTGTGCTATATCGTTACATAAAATCTTTCCTTTAAATATTACTTCATTGAGTTAACTGCTTTTATGAATCCGGTGTTCGTCTTGCTGTGCTAATGAGGTGTGGCAACTTGGACCAATGCATATATGTTACTTGTCTTACGTTGTAACTGAGTGATTTACACTTACTGCCTTTATATCATCCTTTAATAAATATATATCTCTGTTTATATTTTGTAAAATGATTTTCTAATAGACAGGTAGAGTGAATCACAAATGAGCTAACTCATATTACTTGTTTAGTAAGGTTGAATTAGCACGAAATTATTTCTTCAGATTAGTGATAAGGCCTAGTCTGGACAAGTTGAATGAATTGAAGTAAGGGCACAGAATGTAAGAAACTGATTATATTTTCCCTGTAGCTGTTAATAAGATGAGTCGTACTCTACAGATATATAACATAAATTTCAAAGATATTTAGTAAATTAACGTATTTGACCATTGCTTAATTATTACTAGGATTGTTCTCATTTCATTATGTTAGTTTGAATGTAATTGAACAGTATTACAATTCATTTGGTTTCAATGGTTAAGATCATGAGTCAGTTGAAGCTAGACCACCATAGAAAACCCGGAAGCACTGGACGGCCGTTTCGCTCTATTACGGGACTCCTCAGCAGTGCGCATCCACGACCTCGCCTCCTGCGAGATTCGAACCCAGGACCTACTGGTTTCGCGCGCGAGCACTTAACCACTAGACCACTGAGCTGGTCGGCATCCAACGGTGTTCATGTCTAACTTCAACTAATCCACGAAATTGAGCGACACATCCACCATTGTCTTCAGTGAGTTACTATCCCACAACAGACCTGGTTGAACTCCACTGGTCACTACTTCTCACTAGAACTCCAGGATATACCTCTTGAAGCCAGTCACTACTGCGCATATGTTGATTATTATCAGAAGGGGTTTTACTGAAAGAGACTTTTATTTTCTATTCATTAAACAATCTTGAACTATTGACTTCTATGGTTTGTACACTATTTTATGCATGAAATTATAACTTTATATTCTTCACTGGATGTTATATTGACAGGTGATTTCATCATTACGTGGTCAAGATGTAAATTTAGAACAATTACAAACTACAGTTGTTAATAATGAAGATAATTCAGAAAATGAATTGATCACTTCTATACGTGCAGAATGTGATTTATTACGTGAAGAATCTAGTCGATGGCGTCTAGAAGTTGAACATAGAGAAATGGCAATACAAGAATTGGAATTACAAATGCAAGCTGAGAAAGATTCATTAAGACGTAATATTGAGCTATCAGAACAACAGGCGGAACGTGAAAAACAAGTTAGTTAACTATATTTAACAATTTATTTTGTTTGTATGCAAGAACTCTGAATGTTTATTCAATTCTCAATAGTTTTAAATATTTTGATCAAGTGTCATCATTTTTGTGGACACAAGGGGGTCAACCTAGGGGTTTTGGAAAACCCTGATTCCAACCGAATGGTTCACATGGGCTTCAGGATCCTGAGGGAACAAATGGTGCATGAACCATTTGTCGGTTACCGGGTACCATGGGACTGCATCTCCTTACGTTGCTCCACTGCCTTGTGAATTAGACTTTCACTCTGAAGGCTCCGGGTCTTTACCCAGATCAATACAGGTGGTTTTGGTCACAGCCCACACACAAATCAAGTGACTTGTGTGCTCATTACAATCCACATGAGTAACAAGTGTTTCTTGTAAATTAGCTTTCACATCACGTCATATTAACTGTTTTGCGTTGCATGTCATGGCGTTTCCAAGAGGCACTATTCCAAATCTGAATTATTCAATAGTATAGCATAGTTCTACCCATATCCTGCTTGCCGGACCATACTGAAGGTCCTGTGCTTTATTTCGCGTGTGTTTTAATAGGTGTTTATCACAGAACACGACGTATGATGTAAAAGTTGTCCATCATTCTATAGTTTTCAGTGATTTCTCAACTGATGCAAGTTTTTGTTATGAAAACAAGTCATGTAACATTATCGAATATTGGCAATGGATGTTTGTTTTTAGTGTTGAATGTTTCAAGGGGTACACCTTATCCTGTTATATTTAAGTATCAATTCTTATGTTGAGAAATTGATTATTCTCGTTTTACAGATTTCTGGTTATTTTTTTTCACATCTAAATGTCACATGTTTTTATTTAAAACTAAACAAAAACTCAAAGCTTCGAGAAGAAGCTGATACAGAGTTGGCGCATTCAAGACAATCTATACGTGAATTGGAAGAGACATTCAGTCGTCAAAAAGCTGACCTACACAATAAACTAATGTCAACCGAGTCAGAATTAGCTCGACTTAGACAAATAGCATCGAATGAATCGGTACGGAATACACCTCCTACACGAAGCGATCCAGAAAATATATTAACATTAGAATCACGTATTAGACAACTAACCGATAATCTTTTATCAAAACAAGATGCACTGGATTCGGTATTGGCACAAAATCATGCTTTAAAGGTGAGTTATACGAAGTAAAATTTCTTGATGTGCTTTTGAAGATTTGTAGTTCAGGTGGTTAGTTTTAGTGAAGTTCTATTCTCTGAGCTGGGTGGTCTCTAGACTGCTGTAATAGATCAAGTAACATCAGCAACCGAAAGACAAAATCAGTAGCGAAAGAAAAAATTGTTAACCGTATGTGGAGAAATTCAAATGGTTCATATAGTGTCTGGTACTATGTCAAGCCCATATAGACTTTTCTAACTATGGACGGATTAATTTATTCATTCTCCTCAAGCCATATTTCTATCCTGTCACTTATTCGCTTATTAACTCGGTGTTAGATCTATCGAACAGTCTAGTTCACCTAATTGAGATACACGCGAAACCGAAGTTCCAAAACAACGATTTGTCTACAATAGCGGTTCTTTATTGAATAAATACACAAAATTTAGTTACATACCTCAACGTCTGAGGTGTCTGTGTCGTTCAAACGCATCCTTCAAGTATAAAGACACAAACGCTTCCTGTAACAGTAACATAAATAATAATTGTAACATACGATAGTACAATGGAAAGCTGATAGCTCTGTCTAAATTTGATAACAGTTTATGAACAACTGAAACTCGAACCAACAGCAAAACAATATGGAAACTGTTGCATTTAAACAAATGCACGAAATGTGGATAACCGCTACAGTGATTAAGGTACAGTAATTAGAATGATAAGTACAATAAACGTTATAAATTTATGTGAACATTTCTAAATATTACACTACAACTTGCGTTACAACATAGGTTTAGGAATTGTTGGGAATACAACTGCTTACTGAATATAAATAAGTAGTACAAAACAATATACGAAAGAGTGGAAAGGAAACGAGTAGGAATAATGTAAGCCAACTTAACACTCGGACTATTTTTATATAATCGTGTGTACATGTATTGCTTACCCTATTCATCACATGTCTGTAACTCATTTTTGTCTGACTATAAATATTAAGTGGCGTTCGTTTAAATAGAGTTGGCCCACGTGCCTTATCCCACTCGTTTCGTTTCGCTTTCTCTCCTCTTTACTTCGTTTCCCTAGTTGTTTGTTCCGACCAACGATTTTATGAAATATACGTGTTCGAAATCCATTCTCATATATGACTTATTTTAACACCGTTATTCATTAACGCGATTTAAGTTGATAATTGCATACGACGATTGGTGGTATGTATATTTCGATAACAATCATCATTCGATCTAGATGAAGTCAGATCAGTCTTGTTTAAAGATTATGTTGATAATGTTTAGAAAGACAAAGACAGCTTGACGACTAAATTACTTAGCTGATTAGATTTGATTGTACGAAAAATAAGCGTGTTCAGTTTCGAATAATCAATATTGCACCATAACAGAGTGATGTTTGTGCCTACCAATGAAATTCTCTGTTAATTTCAATCGTTTTAATTGTATATAAAGAATAAAAAGTATTGTACACCGTCTGATATTTAGTTATGTTGTTATCATACGTTTATGATACGTTCTACTTGTAATGTAATCAAATTAATAAATGAATATTGTAATTTGCATTTTTTTTTCGGTTGTCGGTCTCAGACAAGGGCAAATATAGACGACTTAATGCATATGAATGTATACTAATGACATTTCAACAAAGATAACTGGTTGTGTTTCAATGTTGTACTTTGATGTTTTTCAGTTTCATTTGTTGTTAGGATATTTAAACTTGTTTTTCGTAGATTTGTGAACTTACTCTTTGTAGTTTAAACTACGTCATATAATTAGATGTTGAAAATATGTATCTGTTCATCATTTTATTGTTTAACGGTTAAAGTAGTCCACTATCAACCAGGAGTTTCAGGGTCAAACACCACCTCATCTATTCTTCAGTTGAAGCTGATAAGTCTTGCGAATTTGAACGCTATACTCGGTTCCTAAGCTAGAACTATATAGCGACCTGAACAGGAGAGAGAAGGCGTAAAGTATGCGAAAAGTACTTTACTCCAAGGTTCATTTTAATACAGAAAACAGAGGGTTTTTATAATATTCTAAATGTCCTTGGGTTTCTCGAAGATTCTAGAATGCTACTAAACATAGTAACAGTAAGGCAATCAGCCAATCAGAACCTCAACATGTGGCGGTTCACATCCTTGATGTTTTCTGGCTAAACTCCAAGTGAACGCTGATTGGTTGAAATGTTTCTTAATGGTTCCTGATCCTTGCGTGTATTTTGCGAGAAATTTTCTGGATCATCCCAACAGAAACATCTGGTTGATGATTCTATTGTTAGTGTACTTGACTTTCAGTCACATTGTTTTTTTTTTAAAAAGTATTTACCGTTAACCATTTGTCTAAAGTGAGTATGATGAAGTGAGTTTTCGACTTGTGATTTAAGTTATCATTATCCGGAATGCTTTAAGTACTGTTCATCTGAGTTACTGATTTTGGTTTTTGGTGGAGTTTTAGATGCCCACACTGTCAAGAAGTATTTTTATACTAATACATAAACAACCGTCCAGTTTTTAATTTTTAAATCTTTTCTAAATTCAGATCGATCTGTGATGAAAAACACCTAGATGTTTTGATATTATCAATTAGTAGTAATACTATCATCATAAAAATCAGTGCCCATCCAGTTTGTATATATTAACCTATAGGTCATAAATAAGTTCTATCATTATTTTGTTATTGTTTATGAATTTTTCTTATACCATTTTTGTATGATTTCACCATTCCCTCCCCCCGTGTTTTCTATACGTTTCCTTTTTATATCTTGACCGCCTCCAAATGCCTTAGTACGGCAGAGAGTGGGGACAGTCCGCTTTCCCTCTCGAAATGCTATCACGTGACCACGCGTATACAGCCTCTGCCAGGGAAGTCCTACTCACTGCCTTCTCGCACCACGGCTGTTGTTTACGAAAATGAGAGGACGAAAAGCGAATGTCCGGCACTGGCTTTAACCGGATCTCAAACCAATGGTACACATGGGCTAGCTCCAGTATCCTGAAGGAACAAATGGCGTATAAACCAATCATTGGTCACCGGCTGGCTACCATGGGACTGCATCTCCTTACGATGCTCCACTGCCTTGTGGGTCAGGTCTTCAGGTTGAAGGATCGGAGTGTGGCTCCCTAAGAAAACCACCTGCTTTGGTTTGGCACCCGGGCAGTATCACAGCCTTCACACAAATTAAATGAGATTTGTGTGGTGCATATGTATTTGGTGCCTCCTTGTATCAATATCTATGTGTTAAAATAATAATAATTATTATTATATCTTGACCAATCCTACTAATTGTATCTTTTCTCTTATGTTTGTTAGATTCGACTTGATCGTGTATTGAGTGATAATGAATCACTTATTTCTGCTTTACCTAATTATGATACTCAATCGATTTTGGGATATAATAGGTCTTATCAATCATCTGTTGGAGGTTATGGATGTACTAAACTTAATCTACATGTAAGTTGATTTATTGTTGATAACTTAACTATCAGAAGGGATTGTGTGGAGATTTTAGAAATTTCACTGGTTGAAATCATGAATCCATTGGAGCTAGACCACCATGGAAAACCTGGAAGCACTGGACGGCCGTTTCGTCCTAGTATGGGACTCCTCAGCAGCGCGCATCCACGATCCCGCTCCTCGCGATATTCGAACCCAGGACCTATCAGTCTCTTAATTATTAACTTAATTATTAATACTGATTGAACAATAGCTTTCCTGTTTATTTGTTTGGGCATTAGAAAGAGAATAGTTTATTATTTTTTCCTATGATTTTAATCACACTATTTTTTAATAGCCCAACAGTGATACTATTCGTTTACATAAAGAGAAATAGGCGTTGTGAGTTTTAAATCTAACACTTAGTAGCTGAAAATTGAACATTTAAAGTGTTCTAGACTCTACTTCCTCTAAGAGCTCTAACACCTTATGGAAGCGTTCTTCTGGTTCGTGCAATGCACAATGAACAATAGTAGCCTTAGCTTCACCATCAGAATACTATTTATTTATTTATTTGAACACATAGATATCGATACAAAGGGGCACCAGATACATATGCACCACACAAATCTCATTTGATTTGTGTGAGGGCTGTGATACTGCCCAGGTGCCGAAATCGAAGCAGGTGGTTTTCAGAATACTGAATCAAATAGTCTAACCTAGATTGGGATCCAACGCTTTTATCAAAACAGTCTTTGAAATTCTGTATGAAACTCCAATAGTTCATGGGATTACCGTCAAACCTTATGATCTCTCTCTTTTTTGTAGGTCTTAAACTTTAGATATCATTGTTATCCAGTCCTTTACAGGAGGAAAATCAACTCCATGAGACTCTTACGACATCATCTTGTCAATCACAACTTGAATATAATTTTCTCTTCCCTTTTGACACAACCTTTCCAACTCAATTTCTCTCTCTGTCTGAACTAAGCGTACTTTAGCTAATTCTTACTTTAACAAGGGATCCATTCGGTAGCCGCTTTTTCTAAAGTGGTCACTATTATGAGTTTCTGAATAGTGGAGAGGTAAATCAGGAATCTGATCAGTCTTATGATTGTTTCCACAGACATTTAACAGCATTCATCGTGTGAATTTTTGACGAGATACTGGTCAAAACTTTGTAGGATTTAATTCGTCCTATAGATATGCTACTAGAACAGTAAATGCAATACTGGCGATTCTAGACACATCTTACCAGATTAACGTGGGGGGAGCTTAAGCAATGATTTTATTGGCTAGTTATGAACATAACTAACAAATGGTTTTGAGAAACGTGTGGCGGTCTGTATTCAATATAATCCCCAAACTTCGTATATAGTTCGTCCTGATAACCGTCACTAGATAATGCTCCGACGGTGTATTAATCAGAAGGCGAATACGAAGTGTTGATTAAGTTTATCATTGTACCACGCACAAATAACCAAATTTACAGGTATGTTAAGCAAGCATGAAAGAGTAGTGCCGAAAAGCAAGCAGGCAAGCGAGTGAGTGTCAGTCGAATGAACCAGTCAGCGAGTAAATGAACAGGATTAAAATGTACATATATATATATATATATATATATATATATATATATATATATATATACTGTAGTGTGACGTTGAGTCACGTTTGACTATGATCACCAATACAAGAAGGTTGCGTACCAGAAATCAGAAGGCGATTGAAGGTTGTAGTCTAGATGTATTTGTTGGCGATCTCGTGGTATTGAAAGAATACCGAGATCGTGCCAAAGTTGTGCAAACGTAAGCGCGTGCAAGGTCACAATCAAGGGAAGGAAAAATGTTTTGAGTATAGTTAAACAAACAAGTACAGTAAAACAACCCCTGGTACAATTGGTTATAATAATGATTGATTCCATTACACCAATCGCGTTCTCTTGATGAAAGTAGGTCACTACAATACACAGTGAAATAAATGAATCATTGAATCAATTAAGCGACTAATAGTAAGGCTATCAGAATGAATATATAAGTAGGCAGTAAGCAATGCTCAAACATACAATTCATACAATTGCAACGATTATAAACGTACAATGATATGGATAAGTTGTGATTGTACGAATGACTCTATCCATTAAAGAAGTCAACAAAAGTCGCTCAATCAAATTTAATGTGAACAAACTCAATTGCATGTGAGCTGCTATAAACGATTCATAAAATCTGGTGTAAATTTCTTTCAACCATGTTGTAAGTAATGAAGATGTAAATTTCCAGCAATGAATGCTGAAAGTTGTTATAACTTGTGCACTGTACGCTATTAATGTATAACGTAATGATACCGCAAATTCGAGAACAGTGAATTACCGACGCATAAAAGAAGTGCAAGCAGTCTAGAGAGTCCTTATCGGTCCTGCTTCCCGCCTAGCCCAGCCAGTTAAGTCCAGAACACCAATCTCAGCCTCTTCATTATAAATCATTTATTTCAAACATACTCAGTTTATATACTAACCAGACAGACCACACTGTACCATAAAATAGGAAACAACATTTGCACAAGATTTTGCCAAAAGTGGTTGTGAATGTAGAGGTAGTAATTGACAGACTGGGAATAACTCATGAATGGTAAGTCGTATAATAATCGTTCGTAGATCAAAATAAAGCTTATGATATGAGAAGCACGAATATGAATAGTTTAGGCATTTAACAATTATACGATAAAAATATACATATAGTATTGGTCTATAAACGGATCTCAACAGTTACCATTCATTATTGTCATCGGGATATAACAAAGGTAAACAAGTTTCGTACGTAATACCGAATAAAATCTCGTCAATATAGCGAAGAACGTTACATATAAGCCGAAAGAATTCATTTATCTGATGTTAATCTTTGGAACATTTTACACTTGTTTTATCACTGGTACCTGTAAGAATAAGACAAAATTAATGAAAAATCTAGAATGGAGGTAGGTATGCTAAGTCATCTGTTAACCCATCAATTTTCTTCAAACATTTTCTTATCTATTCATAAATGACATTCAAGAAACTGAATTGCTAAGATTTATATTTACTTGAGTGTATTGAATATTGACAAGGACCGCATTCCTGCAATTGAACTGAAACTTGAAGAACTACTACAATTATCATCAAAAAATGTAAAAGTATTTATAAACAATTATCTACACGAGATACTCAATGATCCTTGGCTGGATACTATCAACAACAGCGTTCTGTGGGAGAGAACAAACTAGCTTCCAGTTGAATAGGAAATCAGGAAAACACAATGGAAATGGATAGGACATACATTACGCAAATCACCAAATTGAATTATGAGGCAAGCTCTAGCTTGAAATCTTGAAGGGAAGCGGAAAAGAGGAAGGTTATAAAACACATTATGTTGAGAAATAGAAGCAGATATGTAAAGAATAAATAACAACTGGAAAGAGCTAGAAATGATTACCCAGGACAGGATTGGATAGCGAGTGCTGATGGGCAGCCTCTGCCTTCATGAGGAGTAACAGGCGTAAGTAAGTAATTGAATATTGACATGTAAATATAATGATTGTCCTATTGTTTTTATTACTATATTCCATTTATTACAATACACTGTATTTGTTAATGTATAATATATTCATTTTTATTCTTTTGTTCCATATTAGGATACCCCGATTCCTAAACAATTAAGACCGTTAGTTTATCGAATCGATAATTTTGGTATACAAGTCGTGAATAGTTTTCGTCGATTCCCAGTTATTCGTTTAGCTCTTATCATTTATATAATAATTCTCCATTTATCGATAATAATTATATGTTTCATACCAGCGGATAATATGAATAAGAAAACTATTACAGTTGGTGGCAATGGCAATAATAAATTGGTTATAGAAAATCCTCCTATTGCAGTTCATCAACTTCCACTTGCTTTAAATAAACCTTGAATTAGATAAACACATTGTCTCTTCCTCTCTCTCTCTCTCTCTCTCTCTCTCTCTCTCTCTCTCTCTCTGTTTCCCATTCACATACATACTTTATAATGGTCTCTAACTTCTTGTGTGTGCGTGTGTGTATGTATGTTTTTCACTTTTTTGATCTTTCTGTGATGTAATTTGTTGATTCTGTTTTGTTTAATTCAGTATACTTTTATATACTACTGAAATGATGGATAAATAGTAGTATGTAAAGATTAATTAATTATTCTATTTTTTTTCGGAGAAATATTAAACAAATTCAGTGAATGAGGTGTTCTTTTTAATAAAAGCATTTATATTTATCTGATATAGAAAGATAGAAGAGATTGATTACATCATCTATGATTTCAACTATCAAAAGAAGTCTATGTAATGATCAAAGAGTTAGAGAGGAATGGATTAGTAATATATCTGAAGAAGAAGAAGAAGAAGAAGAAATGGAAAGAAATACAGGTCATAATAGTAATGGAACCATAATCATTAGAACTTGTTAGAGGATAAATAATAACTGACTATGGTTTAAAAAAAATCATAATAAAAACAAGCACATGACCAGAACACTGGCGTATATAGCCTCTGCCAGGGAAGTCCTACTCACTGCCGTCTCGTCGCATTACTGTTGTTTACGAAATTGAGAGGATGAAAAGCGAATGTCCGGCGCTTTAACCGGATCCCAAACCAATGGTGCACATGGGCTAGCTCCAGTATCTTGCGGGAACAAATGGCGTATGAACCAATCGTTGGTCAACGGCTCCCATGGGACTGCATCTCCTTACGATGCTCCATTGGCTTGTGGATCAGATCTTCAGGTCAAAGCCTCGGGGTGTGGCCCCCTAAGAAAACCACCTGTTTCGGTTTGGGCACCCGTGGAGTAAGTACCACAGCCCTCACACAAATCAATTGAGATTTGTGTGGCGTATATGTATTTGGTGCCTCCCTGTACCTATACTTGTGTTAAAATAAATAAATAAAACATGACCAGAACATACTAGAGAAATGAATTAAGATCAATGAAGGAAGAGAGCTTGGATATATCGCTTTGTACATAGAGTTCGGGATTGTATTGCTGAATCGTCAAAGCACCAGCGATAGACTACACACTAACCCCTGAAGTGACTACTTCAGTGAGAAAGTGTATTGGGCTACCGAATGAAATGTGCAACTAATCATTTATATATATATATATATACACCACTCTAATCCTCAGGAAATTGATCCATTTCTTAGCCAATGAAATGCATTTTTACTCTAGGTCACTTCTGATTAGCTTTTCATATCACTTTTAGGTTCAGTCCTTTTCATCCTTTGAAGTAAGGTGCATAGAGGTGATCAAATGCTTCTGTCTTGAACTAGTGATAGCTTCACATTCCCTTTTTAAAATATGCTCCAAATAATGTTCTAAGATGTGTTTGGAAAGTGTTCTCTTTATATGATCAATTTAACATGTCACAAAAGAGCAGGTAAATTTATAGATCCACATCGATGTGATCTTTCAGGATATAGTCTTCATGTTACATTTCGGTTAATGAATGAATCTAGATGAATGTACACTTCTTATGAATGTCTTTCGAAGTTGAATTAGTTTGTTATCTATTGTGTTATGAGGAAATCTTCGCCTATTTTCCTATAATAAGTAATGAATTAAATTTCTCTTTCTACTTCATGGGACCCAGCTATAGGAGTTTGTTAAATTGATTTTCTAAATACAGATATTTTTAAGGTACCTATCTGACCTTCTCTTCAACTGGACGTTGAGGAAAAGATATTTCACATTCATCACTGCTTCAAATGTGAATTTAATTGAAAGGTCTGAATTGCACATTGATAGTATGTCATAGGACTAGTAATTTCCGATAATGTTTTGGGATACAAAGATCAGTTGTTGTTGTTGTTTTTAATGTAGCCACATATTGAGAAAACTAAAACGTTTTACATTACGACCAAAAACAAACCAATTAAGATAGTATATGCCTTTAAAAGGTTCACATTTATTCATACTACTGTATACAACTAAGTAGTATCTCTAGAAAACCTAAACACCCTTTAAATCAATGGAAAATAGCCCGTAAATGCTGGATACGTCACATTTATTAAGCACTCAAAGCAAATGAACAAACTCATCAATATTTATTACAAAAAATTCAACGTGATCACAGTTCTGCCCTAGTACATCCGATGGTGGTGAGAGTCAACTCCCTCGAAATGCTCTAAAATGACTACGGGTATTCAGCCACTCTCAAGGAAGACCTAATAACTGCCTTCCAGCGGTATTCATGTTGTTTACGAAATTCGAATGTCTGGAGCTCTAGTTGGGTTGGTGGATAAGGAGGATCCACCTAGAGGAGTTGGAAAACTCTGATTCCAAACCACTGATGTACATGGGCTCCAAGATTCTTAGGGAACAAATAGAGTATGAACCTATTGTTTGTCCCAAGGTAGCTCCTTAAGTTGCTCCACTGTTTTTTGGATCGGACCTCCAGGTCGAAGTCTCGCGGTGTGATCCCCTAATAAAACCATCTGTTCCGGTTTGGGCAAACGGTCAGTTCGATAGCCCACGCGAAAATGAAGTGACTTATGTGATCCATATGTATTTAGTATCACTTTCTATCAAATAAATAAATAATACAGTACAGCTTATCGCCTCGCAGGTCCCCAAAAAACACACAGGGATGGAAATATATAGACATTCATAAAATTTCCATCGAAAGCATGACAAATACAAAACTATGATACACTGTGAGCGTTTTATAAAAAACAATACGTTTATTAAACTGTTCAAATTGTGAATAATGATAGAAACAAATCAAAACCTGGAAAACACTAAACTATTTATACGACTGGAAACCAAGTGGTGGTGAATATTAAGTTAAAAATAATATTGAAAAAGGTACTCTTTAAGAAAAACTTGATTCTATGCAAGTGTTAACAACAGTTAAGAGCCGATCATCGTATAAAATGAATGAAGAACGAGTGACATACAACACTGACATCTAGGTATATTTCAACAACTAATTACATAATTGAGTAAATTAGTTCCATTTGTCCGTTATATCAGTTTAATCTCCTGATGTTGGTTATTGTGCTCAAACACTAAGTGATGTACATTTTGAAATTACAAAACATTCACATCACTTTACAATAATGATAACAATATTAATCCATGAAATAGGTTCTCGATGTCGTAAGACCTAGAAAAATCATCACTTGTCTGATTTACACTAACATCATCCCGACATTCTTAATGTCCTTTCAATTCAATAGCCCATGTTGAGGATTCCACAATTGTTCGAAGTTATAGTGTGGAAAACTCACAAAACGAATCAAAACTGTTAATCCAATCACCATCAAATAGAAACATCTGAGAAATATCTACAAAATGATACATTATCTACCACATTTCGATTCGGTAACAATCTATAAGGTTGATGAAGTTCACATGTTTCGAGGAGTTTCCACAAAACACACTCTCACACACAACTCTACAAATATACTCCATCATTAGGAAATAACCAAATTGAATGTAAAATTCACACATTTCACAACATTGCTCTTTTGTTCAAGTCGACGTATATATGTTGTGTGAGGTGATGTGAAATGGATAGCAAGTCAGTAATACATGTTCCATTAGCGGATATATCACTGTGCTGATTGGATTACTTTTGACTCGCAATTGAACCGAAACTTCATTTCTCATAAAACTACGACAAACAACTCATCATCATCATCACCATTATGAGCAGTAACACAATTAGCAACACTAACATCAACATCACTGAAGGTAGAACACGCAATAATCGAATCTGATGTGTTAATCGCTCATTTACGACAAACTCAAATCACATATTCACAATAGACATTGACAACCACATGGATTACAAATCATCGAAATGCATATCACTACAATTACTAATATGCTTGATATTGAACAAAACATACAGAATAAACACAATGATCGTTGAAATGACAATCACACAATCAGTTAGGATTATTATTTACAATAATACGAGACAAGAAGAAGAGGAAGAGTAAAGCATTTCAACTGATTTCATCTACGATTAGTTGTTATACATTTACATTTGAAAATATGCAGATAAATCTGCTCATGTCATTTCATCTGATCAGATACATCATTTCAATATTGTTCTAGTTTATACTAGACAGTTACTATTTTCTTTTCTTTTTGTTTTTGTTTGTTACTATAGAAATACAGTCTCCTGTTCTTTTTAATCTTATATGCATACATCATACAACGGATACAAAGTTTATCGGAAACATTGGTGCGTCATCGACATTCAAATGATGAATTACAAAATAATATGTCTGGAAAATATGTTTTCTGGCACAGAGAATACACATACATCATCATCATCATCATCATCATCATTATCATCATCATGTTGATTCTACATCTGAGCGACACACGTACACACACACACACACACATATCAGACATTCACAATTATTTGCCAAAAAGACAACATGGATTCATCATTAGTGTTATGCGTTGTGTAAGCTGTAATATTAAAAATTGAATGACTGACTGACTGACTGATGATGATAATGATGATGATGATGCATAGTAGCTCCATGTAGAGCACTCAATTTTATCCATATCAATCAACTAAATATGTGACATAACTCATTTTTGCACTTTATCAATAGTGTATAACGCCATAATTTTGATGTGGGTTTGTTGTTGTTGTTGTTGTTGTTGTTGTTGTTGTTGTTGTTGTTGAATATTTCTGTAATTTTGTGTGTCAGGAAATTAGGCCAACTGTTTTACTGAATAATAGTTGACCATCATGTATGATAATAATAATAATAATAATAATAATAATAAAAGTATGTTTTTACATTTCACACGTAATGAGTTACAATTTTAATAGGGGTTCCTTTATGTCGTGTATCTCGGGCACATTATCTAGCATACATTAGTTAGTGCACATGCTTTACATTAGAAAATGTAAGTC